ATTGTTCTCTTATTCGTGATTTAGCATTATGGTATTATATCGATATCAAAAATGGACCCTCACTGGATGAATACATGCCGGATATATTCGAGCTCATCCCCGCAGACTTGTTTATGTCACAGTTGCGATTATTACGTTTATATTACACGAGATAAAACACTAATCTATCTTTGGCCTATTTCTATCTATTTGCAGAGCGTAAATGCGAAATTGTACTATCAGTTCAAATAGATCTATCATATGGCGATTAAGCCGAAAGTAAATATATAATATAATTAATATACTATTGACTTTAATAATGTTATTAAGTTTTCTATTAGATAGTATAATTATCGAATAACTACTCATTTATAAATGCTATTAGGAACTAATTCTCTATATCTCTTCCTATTTAATATAATGAAAATATAAATTTTAATATAAATTAACTAAAAATAATTTTAATTTGTTTTTACAGATCAACTTCCGATACTGCAGGTTCAATTCGCATCATTATGGTGAGTAATTCTTTTATACGAAAATTGTGTTTAATTAAATACAATTTAATTGTATTAAATTAAAACCAAAAGTTAATTTTGCTTATACTAAATTTAAAATAGAGTTATTATTTAAAACTTTGAAGGAGATAAAATAATATAATGTATAAAATATACTCTAAAATTATTCTACTCTTTTTATTCATAAAATTGGTTATAATAACCGTGCATTACACGCAAACACAAGTATTATACACTCTAACTTGGTCATGCGAAATTGTATGTTAGCGATAAATGCTCATAGAGCTCTCTTGCTAATTATTGCTTTCTGTAAATGAACGATTGCAACGAATGGTTTACAAATTTCCTATTTTTCCATGCTTTTTCTATTTCGGTCTTGTTTGCATATCTGCAATTTGCAGTAGTAGGTTTGCAACAATCATTCGGAAATATAAAAGAGTATGTAACTGCAGCCATCTATCTTTTTCATTTCAGTGTCCTATTGTTACAATATCGATTTATGTAGTCTTGTTGATTATATTTTGCCGTGTTTGAATAGACTGTGAATCACCGCGAAAATAATAAAAGAAAAATACAATAGTTTAGAATGGCAATTTATTATCTTCTGATTTAAGATTCCCAAAAGTTATTGTCAAATTTGTCATAAAGAGATCTTTCATACAAGAAAATACGAAATAGACATTACATAAAATATAAGGATTTTTAAAGACAGTAGAAAATTAATGTGTTATATGAAAATTTAATAGAATAGATTTGATGAGTCAAAACAAAGCAAATATGTATTTTTTACTTATAGAAATTAAGAAGTAATTTAAGGTATTTTATAATATAGAGAACAGAGCTTTTTTTACACAAATTTTAATAGCAAATATTAATTCTATTAATAAAGGCAACCATAGTTGTTATCTGAAAAACATTTACTGCGACAAGAAAACGACTAAGGGGCCGATTTGATATGTTAAAATCCAGAGATATTATTTATTTTAATGATATTTCAAATTTGCACAGCTCTTAGCTTTTACAATATTTAATTAATATACTATGTCATTATATCATAACGCAAAAAATTTAATATTTACTAATGTCAACCACTGAATCTCAGCAAATTAATGTATCAATCAATTGCCGTCATTTCGTTTTTTATTATAATAAAAATTTAAAAGATACATCTAATTTAAATTTACATTTTATTTGAATGTACAGCAATTAATTAGTACATCTCTCTCTCTCTCTCACATATCTTTTTCAAAAGAAAATTCACAAACATTCTGTATACATGATACGCACGCGTTTACTCGCCTCATCAGTCTGATTGGCTCGTTCCGGTACATGCAAAACGAATGTCGTGCGTTTTGATCAGAGCTTGCTTAATTGCCCACCGCGGAATCCGCGATGTCGATACCCGCCATTTCCGTGTTATCCGACTTTCCACATGCGCTGTATTCGCGTGTAAACCGCGACGGGTACATTATGTTTATGCACTTTGCATGCTCTTTACATTTCTCGCGAGCCTCTCGTACAGCGGACTGCGTTCATGTTCTCGTTGTAGATTAGTCAGAAATAGTCAGCAATCGATAACCAATCGGTAGTGGTAGAAGTGGAAAGGGGGTGGACCAAAGGGGGAGAGTCATGTAATCCGATGTTATAATCCGTTAGCCAATCTGTAGCCGATCATACAGTAATTACTCCGCCATCCGTTGCGAGCTCTATGTGAATGCGTAATTAATTCCGCGTTGTATAATCATTTAAAATTTATACCCGTACTTGTTACGCATACCGTGCATAATGCGTCATAGTGTGAAACGCATAATCGAATATGTCGTGTAATTAAAGCAATTATTAACAGCAGCACTGCTGCCGATAGCCGCGGAAGAAAATAGTCGGATATTATTTGTTACGTATTAATACAGTGCAGACTTTATCTCGCTTAACCGATGAATTCACGCAGGACGAACGGTTTAATCTCGCCGGATAATGACCGCTTGCATGCCTGACATGTGCGCCTGGCGCTTAAAGCCGAGATGAAACTTTTGTGTAATTCCATTAATTGCGGCGTAAATGTGGACCGCGAGAAACATTAACATCGTTACGGTCCGAAATTTCTTTCTCTTATAATGCATTTCATGTATGCGTACGAGTGCACTTTACTCCGCTCCCAGATAAATGTTAATGCGTTAAAATGGTAGGCATATTTTCCGTAACTCGGTTGATGCATCAGAGCATGGGAAGCGAGAAGATGAGGTACGAGCGCATTTTAGTCGAGAGGTAAAATTGAGAAAATATTATAGTATAAAACTTTCACAGATATTTTAAATGTGTTAAAATTTCACAAATATTTTTTAAGTATTCAATTCTATTTCAATTTTAGAATTTAATAAAAATTTTATTTAATCTTTGTTTTTCACCAAATCGTTACGTATAATGGAAGAAATAGTCTTACAAATTGGCTATTTGGGTCAATAAATTTCACATTCCGTATACAATTTTCCGTTTTAAATTTTATTCCGCAGTTACATTTATCACTATATCGACATATTATATTATAAAAATAATTGAATAATATTCAAAATCAAAAGATCACGTCTAGCATTAAGCTTAGTACGTTCTCCATAGCAGAGCGCTGGAAAAAGCAAGAGCGCTCGTCATATAGAGATTACTTTATCATCGAAGTTCGATTCTGGGATATTAACTGTAATCTATAGTTCCGCATGGTCCGCCAGTAAATCGCGCATTAGACCCGAGAGTCAGCCGAGCGATTTTCTAACTCTGCACGCGGGAGCTCGCGAGCGTGATCGAAGTTGACTCTCGAACTCGGTGGACCGCGCGAAGCGATAAAACACGACTAATATCCAAACTCTCGAGTATCTATCGGCGTTCCTTATGCCGATCGACCGCGCATCGTTGCGCGATGCCTAATATTCCATGACAAATGGCGAATACATGGTCTTATATGGCGGGCAAGTAACGAGGCGACAAGAACCGCGCGAAGAGAACGACATCGACGGATATGAGGCACGAATTGGTATTCCTGCGGTGGAATGATTGTTCTCACGGTTGTGTGATAGGTGCCGAGCAATTGTTCCACATTCCACGGTTATACACCGTCGATATTAGGATGTATACGCGTGTGTATAAGCCGGCAGGATGAATGCATAACCTGCTGGGTATTACTGCATTAACCACCGGAGCCAGAGACCGTACGTGCTATCTGACCGAGAATTCCAATTTCGAAATCCATGGCCCGTTCCCGAAACAAGATCAAAGTTGGACCGCGGCCATTGTCGATCGTGCCACAATTCGTGACCTCCTCACAATAAGCGGCGTTTCTCTCACGATCGATTTGTTGTTCCCACGTTCGTGTGAAATCTATCTCAAATCTTTAGCACGAAGACCGCAACATTGCTTTTTTCCATTTTATTTCCGACTATTTCGAATACGTTTCGTTTATCTGTTATCGGTTCCATTATCTTGGTTATTTTACACTTTTTATTTTCTTATTTCAATCCTACGGCGGTGGCAGCAGTAGTGACAAGATGCAGTTTTTTTTTAAATTTATTTATCTCGTACCGCAACTGGTTGCATTGATACGGTTATCTCTTTGAGGCTTCACATCGCCGTACCGCTACGCTGGTTTCGCGGTAAACAGCAGCCTCTTGTGCAATGAGCTTTTGGGTGCAACTGGAGAAGTGTCACCGCGGATGTTAAGCGGATGACGGTGACTAACGAAGTCGCAGTCCGTTAACAATGTTAAGCGCGCGAGAACCGCAATTTAGCGTCGCCGCTGCCGCCGACGAGACCGGCCTATTTCCGACGGTGGCACGTTCCGTCGTATGTACACATGCGACATCCACAAATGCCGGTGTGGATATAACGTTACACGGCGCGACGTGGAACCGAGCTCGATAAAATAATGTATTATTTCGGATCCGATTTCCGAAGTCGGATTTATGACGACGGTACATACGGCCGCTCGGCGCTTTCCCAAACTTTCTGCCGGTACAATGGTCCGTGAAATTGTTGGCAACGTTCTTAATAACTACTGTTATGAAACTGAGTCATCTGCAATATTTCGCGATAGCAATGCCGTTTCATTCTGTGGCGGTTATCGATCGACAAAACTGCGTACGGAGCACGTGAGATCCGTATCAATATTATTCTGTTTTTGTGTAAAAATCTAGAGAATGCTAGATTTTTTTAAAAGTCGAATGTTATTCATAGACATTCAGAAAATATATAATTTTGTTTTTTACTTATTGTTAAATTTATCTTAAATATTTTTATTCGAGGAAAAATTATATTACTCACACTTTTATAATTTCTCATAATTCTGTAAATTCTTGTAAATTTACTCATATGGAAATTTAGGCATGACAAATTTGATAATGATTAAAAATATGCATTTTTAGTGTGTGTGATAGATTAAATTTCTTTAACCAAAATTGTTTTACATTTTAGATAGGATTTTAATAACAGTTTTATGTATAGAATTTATTCTGATAATATTTAAAAATTATAACTCCATAATAATTTAAATACATTTAAAATACACTTTATTTCAGCTTCTGTAAAAGTTTGACAATTAACAGTTCATTGAAATTAAATAATATTTCGAGTGAAAAGTCGTGTACTTTACTTAATTGGAAACTTATCGCACAGCGCTTATTATTCAATAAAATTGTATCGTGAATTTGCTTGATACCTCTCGATCAATCTGCATGAGCAATTTAAAAGTTCGCTTTCGCTCCGTTGGATTGAATTCATCTCGATCGAAGTTTTCTCGCGGTTTTTCATCACTTCGATGAACCCCGACGGAATTGAAAGCCCTACCATTTCTTGTAATATAAAATGTGCGGTTTTTGTATTGAAGTTTTAATCTGCTCATATCCGTTGCTTTTAACTCCTTTCCGTTAACCCTTTCCATCGGTAGTAAACTTCCATTACTTTGTCGACTCTCAATACTAAAAAAGAAAATCAAGATAGCTTCAATTCGTTTTCTCCGT